CACACACACACACACCTGCTTCCACCTCCACCCCTCCCCTCAGCCCTGCATAGCCTTCCTCCCAGTGCTGCTGCCGCCTGTCCCGCCTTGAGCGCAGCTCAGCCCAACCCCTGCTGTGGAGAGCTTGGCACCACCCCAGCCCACAGCAGCAGTCCACTCCATCCTGCACAGACCCAGGAGACCACACCCCCATGCCCTCCTGGGATGCGCGCAGTGGTGGGATCTGTCTCTTCCCTTCCCACTCCGTGTCCCCCAGATGAGGTGTGACTCTATCCCACGCCCCACCCTACCCACCCTGGCTGGGCAGCACCTGCCTCACCCCCAGCTCCAGACCCACTCTCTCCTCACTGTGGGGCCCTTGATCTGCCCCCCACACCCGTTCCCTCCCCTCTCCCCTTCCATCACAACAGACTTACCAACTACACACAGCTCTCCGTGCTGCCGAGCTGTGCTCCTTGCTGCTTACATGCTGCGCTGTGGCTGTGTGCATGCACAGGGCATTTATTGGCCACCTAAGGCCTATTTCTGATGCAGTCAATTTTTTTTAATATCAGTGCCAATCCAATATTGGACCGTTGTACTGGTGCCTCTCTAATTATTTCTTATTTTTAAAAGTCTGAACATATGTAATATACCTAATAAAGCCTCCTTACTTGAAAATTAAAGTTGAAAATGATTTGGCTGCAAGTGATAACTGATGCTAGAAATGACTTCGCAGGCCAGCAGAAATTTCAAAAATATGCTCTGTGGTTTAGTTGATGTGGAACTGGCATCTGGCCGCAAGAAGTGTGAACATAGGGTATATTTTACAAGCTTTATATTCTGGTTTCATTTAAAAATAATGATGAGTGTTATTTGTGAGCCTTTTTTGTATGTTTGGTATAGAAAAAACATGAATGTTTACTTGAAAATTATTATGTTATAAAGAGGCATTTAATATAGAGATGGAGACATTTTTTCTAAGCTGTCATTCTTAAACTGAGACTTTTAAAATTCAAGTTTAACATGTTTATTTTGGGAAAAAGATGTAGTTGAAATATTGTTATCATATTAAGATTGTTTGGATATCTTTTATGTAGATGGTAATGCCTACATTAATCATTTACAAGATTGTAATTCCCAGTTGAAGACAAATAGTCTACTAAAGGAAATAGGTTATTGATTTGACCATCTTACCTGTATCTGTTGTTTTTAAAGAGTGTCTTCCTAGCCAATCTGTTTCAAAAGTTTGGCTTTTCATGTAATCCCAAATATAATGGACGTTTTGGCTGCTTGCAAACATGAACCCCCTCCCTCCCCCCCAACATCGCTTTACTTTAAACTTGGTGTGCTCCTGCCCAGAAGAGGCATCATGTTAGTTGCACCCGGCTTTCCCCAGCGTCTATAGATCAGGCACTTTGTGGGGCTTTTATCTAATAAGTAATTCAATCAGCTTTAGATAAAAGTGCCAATAACACACTGCTGCTTCTGGTGAAGCGTGGGTTTGGTTCCCCCCCCCCCATGTCTGTCAGTGCCCTCTGTCTTTTTAATACTCTATACCACACTCATGCTACATTTTTTATAGTTATTAGTTTTAAAAACATTGGGAACTTGAGCTAATGGATGGCTTAGGAGTTTGGCAGCATGGAGCCATTTGATTCCATTCTGGGTGAATTTTAATCATGACTCTGATGCCTTAGATACCACAGACTGTTTCAAGCACACGAGGAATCCATTGATTTCTGTTAAGTGTTAATGTTTTTGCAGGAGTGAGGCCTAAGACTAGTTATGATCCTGTGTGTAATTCAGTAATTTCTGAATTGTCAAAGGTCTCTTTCCTGTGTTGAGTGTTGTCTCTGTCACAAAGAATATAGCTATTTATATAATTAGCACACTTGGAGGTTTTAGTAGAGAATATCAATTGAATTTTCCTTTTGCTGTCTAAAGCGATCTTGCACAATCACAATTTTAACACACGAAATTGGTGTGTTAATTTTTTTCAAGCACTTGAAATAATTGATAGCTGTTATCAAGGGACATGTCTGAGATTTTAATCATGCTACAGAAGATCCTTCTTTCTCTGCATCAGATACATTTTTACTGTGTACCAGAAATAGTGGTTAATTTTGCTTTTCACAGGGGTCAGTCATATTCGGTATGGGAACTTCTTTATGTCCTGCCTTTCTCTTCTAATACAGATCATATTATTGATACAATCAGTAAAGTTTGCCAATAAACTTGAATATACTTTCTCTTGGTTGATACAATTTTCAGTAAAACAAATGCATATTATGCGCGTAGAAAAGTTACCATAAACAAGATTGCTGTTAACATTGCTATCAGTTACTAAAGAAAGCACTGTTTTAGATGGTTCTAGCAAAAACATACATGGCCATCTCTTTGAAAAGGGATCTATCAACATTTTAATGTAGGATTAAATGGCAGTCTCTAACAACAAAGATTTCAGACCCCAGTTCAGTAGTATCATGAAGTAACAGTTGAAACAATAGCATAAGAACAGTTTCCAAGCTTGTCTCTCTGAAACAACCATTCTTCTGCCACCAGCTGCCATTAGCAGGGAGGAGCCTGAAGGCAATAATTCCCCATTCTACTTCCAGAGTTTGTTTCATCTCAAGACTATTTGAAGGGAGTAACATAGCAATACTTGGGTTCTTGAAAGGATTGTGTTTGTTAATATTTCACATGATTAGATTTCAAATCAGATATTTCATCATGGAAAGTGATCTCATTGTCCAAAAATGAATTGCCAAATTGCATGTTAACTTTTTTTTTTCCAAACTTTTCTTTGTTCAACTACAGTGGTTTAACTTGAACTCTCTCTTGACGGGTCCAGAACTAATATCAGATACATACCTTGCACTTTTCCTGGCTCAGTTACAACAAGAAGGTAATACTCATTTTTAGTTGTAAATCACCATTATTTAAAAGCTAGTGCATAAAATCAGATCATTTTTTATTATTATTATTATTATTACTATTAAAAATCTCTTTTAAATAATAATAATCTAGTTTACCTTATATCAGTTTGGTGACGAAAGTAATAAAATAATATTCTGTCTTCATAATAAGAGGTTGAGCTATAATATTAAAATATACTGTTTAGAATTAATTATATCTTTTATTATATGGGGTTTTGGATGTTTTATCCTTGGTCCTTTCGATTTATGGTCTTATTTTTCCCAGGTTATTCTATATTTGTTGTGAAGGGTGACCTACCAGATTGTGAGGCTGACCAACTATTGCAAATGGTTCGGGTACAGCAGATACAGCGACCAAAATTGATTGGGGAAGAGACTGCACAATCAAGAGATCAGAGGTAAGGTAAATACAGATTTATTTTTAACAGTATTAACTGTGATTGCTTTCACTGTCAGATGCCTACATAAAAAAAACTTCTTCATAAGAAAACTAATGACATACAGTTGCTGTAGTGCACCTTGAGTGTATTACATATACTATTGTTAGGGACCTACCTAATTCATGGGGGCTGCCCTCCCGATTTTGTGGGCAGAACGCAGTGGGCTCCCCCTACCCTTCCCTCACTGCTGATTGACAATGGGGACTGCCTGTCATATGGCCCCACCCCTCGCTTCTGATTGTGAGGGCTGTCCATCATGCAGCCCTGCCCCTCGCTGCTGATTGGTGCAGAGGCATGGCCACGTGACAGGCAGTCCTTGCAGCCAATTGGGGCAGTGGGGAGCCATCTTGCCAGAAGCCCTTTGAGTGGGCAGCCTTCCCCACTTTCCTCCATGATCCAGTGGGCTGCAGTGTACTAAGGACTGCTGGCTCCTTCTAAGGAGCCAGCATTTTTACTTTCAGGAAGTTTTTTTTTTCCATGGATTTTGTAGGCATTGCCTGGATTTCGTGGAATTCAGTCCATGAAATTGTGAATGTAGTATGTCCTTAACTGTTATACACAGTTCACAGCTTGTTAACATTATTAAGGTTGCAAAGTCAAGCACTCAGAAATAAGAAAAAGACAATTTCAGTGCCGAGTTTTGCCATGGTCCAGATCAGCTCTTGGAGGGCTTTGCCCCTGTAGCCCTGTTTTGGAGGGATGGTGTATAAGCACTGTGGTTGGTAATAGGAACTGTGAGAATCTGGAGCATACTTAGATGCGGATGGAGATTTTAGCGATTATTTTCAAGCAACTCTCTTCTGAGCATATGCAAACTGCGATTTTGCAGATGCTCAGAACATGGCAGTTTGGACAGCTTTTCACAAGATTGGCAGAAAGCCCATTCCTTCTGGAAAGTCCACACTGCAATGGTTTCAGCTGAAATTTTCCCCTCAAAAAACTGAGCTTTGGGCAGATGCCAGCATGTAATGTTTCAGCCTAAATGTTTATGGTTTGACAAAATTAAAAGCAACTGAAAACAGAGCCTTGCCATAGGTATTAGCAGCCCTATCAGAAGCATGGACTGGTTGCATTCTGATTTATAGTTTCATAGTTTCTAGGGTCGGAAGGGACCTGAGCAGATCATCTAGTCCAACCCCCTGCCATGGCAGGAAAGAGTACTGGGGTCAAATGACAAACGAACCCAGCAAGGTGTTCATCTAACCTCCTCTTAAAACCCCCCAGGGTAGGAGCCTGCACCACTTCTCTTGGAAGTTGGTTCCAGACCCTAGCCGCCCTGACCATGAAAAAGCACCTTCTGATGTCTAACCTAAACCTACCCTCTGCCAGCTTGTGACCGTTATTCCAGGTCACTCCTGGCGGTGCTCAGGGGAACAGTGACTCCCCCAGTGCCTGCTGATCCCCCCTGACTAGTTTATAACAGGCCACAAGATCCCCCCTCAGCCTTCTCTTTTGGAGGCTGAACAGGTTCAGGCCCTGTAGCTTCTCCTCGTAGGGCCTGCCCTGCTTTCCCCTGATCATGCGAGTGGC